AGTCAAATTAAGTTAAGTCTTAAGGTAAGTGAGTGACATAGCTTAATTGGTATGTATTATTTAAGTTAAAATGAGTATAAATTTTCAAAATAAATATAAAATTTAAAATAGTTAAATTTTTTACAATAATATATATATATATATATATATATATATATATATATATATATATATATATATATATATATATATATATATATATATATATATATATATATATATATATATTTATAAAATAATAAGTTAAAAAAAAATTAACCTGTAAGACTAAATTATCATGTCATCTATTCATTAGATTAATATATGATATGATACAATTATCCTATCATTATCTTATGAATCAAACAAACCCTTAAAATAGATATTTTGTTATAAATAATTGGATGAGGAATGTCTCTCAATGATTTTATTTCTTATTTATAATTATTTGTATTTATTATATTGTCTCTATGTTGTCTTATAAATAAGATCAATCTCATTATAAAAAGACACACCAATGAAATAATACAGAATTATTGTCATCTTTCTCTCTTCTCTTTTATCTTTTTTCTCCTTATTTGTAAAGTAACATTATTTCTTTTTTCTTTTATAATATATATTTTCAGAATATTTATATAAGTTCTTGAAAAACTTATCAAACATCCTTGAAGGATAGAAATTTTTTTTTTATATAAGTTCTTGAAAAACTTATGAAACATCTCTGAAGGATAACAAAAAGAATATTTAACAAAAAGAATTTATAAAGCATTTAGAGTATCTGAAGAACTTATAAAGCATCCTAAAAGATAATAATTAGTATATTATATAGTTCTTGAAGAACTTATCAAATATGATTAAAGGATAATATTGAGTTTGATATAAAGTTTCTGAAGAATTTATCAAATATCTCTGAAAAGTAATATTGTGTTTGTTATATAATTCTTGAAGAACTTTTCAAGCAACATCCTAAAGGATTATAAATATTATTTTTTTATTAATAAAATATTTGTGATTAAGTTTCTAAAGAACTAGAGCAAAATTTTTGATAAAGTTTTCGAAGAACTAAAAAAAACTCTCTTAAATCTCTTTCATGGTATTTTTATCATGATTGGCCATCTAATTTTTATAAAAAAAATTATGATTGAGTTTCTAAAAAACTAAAAAAAAAAAAAAAACTCTTAAATTCCTTCTGTGATATTTAAAAATGTATTTTTTTTCATCATTTGTTATATCGTTCATGAACTATATATTTTACTAAGGATTGTAATTTTTTTTTATCATAGAGAATTATGACCTAGTTTTAAAAGATTGTAAAATATATGTTTCATAACTAAATATTTCTGATTTGTTATAAATTATTGGTTGACAAAATTAATTTAATATTTATTTTATAATATAATATTATAATTTTGTGACTAACTTATTATGATTGACAAGTATTTATTTAATAATTAAATATTATCAATTTTGTTATTAATTTGTGTTATTGTAATTAGTGTTTTATAAATTAAAAAAAATGAATTATCCATATATAAAATGAATTTTTTCAATATGGTAGATATTTATTTTTTAAATTTTTATATTATAAAAATAGGTGTCTTAATGGTGATTTGATTAAATATATTATTTTCTATAAAATAATGCATTTTACAATATACATATATATTTTCTTTTGTTTAGTTTTCTAATGAATAAATATTTATTTTCATTTGTTTCAAATTTGTTTATTAAGTTATAATTCTTTTATTTAAAGTTAATGTTTTTATTTATTATTTAATACATAATTTAATTACAGTTTTGATTTTTCTATTTGACCTGATTCACAAAATTGATTTTTTCTTTAAATTTAAATAGTTTTGATTCTCTTTTCATAGGTTTATAATCAAAATTAATAATATTTTAATTTTTTAAATAATTTTTTTTATGAAATATGATATATCATTATATATAAATTTATTGTGAAATTTTATAAATAAAAATATAAGTTAAAAAATTAATATGTCATCAATTTTCTATGAAAAATATAAAAGAGAGGCCAAACTTATTTGAATTTAAAACAATGAGATTAATTTTGTAAATTAGGTAAATTTGATGTTCATAACTGTAATTTAGTCTTAACATGTAAATATGTATTAAATATTAAATTATAGAAGTTAATGTTGTCGAAATCTAGCACAAATGATTAATATACATTTTGAATAAAGGTGGAAAGACGGGTCTAGGTCTACTGGCCGATCGCGCATCCATAAAAAATAGTGGATTGAATTGAAAGTTTAGATTTGTCGCCAATTAAAGTCTGCCGTCCAACAAAGTCCCTCTTGTTAAAGTCCGTTATCCGCTAAAGTCTGTCCCGTTAAAATCTGCCCCGCCTATTCGTTCAATCCGTACCACCTTAAATCCGCTCTTTTCGAATTAATTCTAATAATTTCAATTCTTAATTGTTTTATTTTATACAATTTTTTTTATAAATATATGTAATGTTGTTGTTAAATAAAATTTGTTAAAAAAAATGTTTTCTAAAAAATTGTTCTTAAAAATCTAATTGAAATATTAAAAAAAAAATAATTTATTAAAATAAAAATAAATAAGTAAATAGGCGAAAAAGTTCACGGTCTGCCAACCCCTCACTTTGGCATAGTAAACTAGATTTTCATGTTTAGTTCCACTTAGTAAGCTTATCTGCCCCACTCTTTTTTATGAATTTAAGAAGAGACAGGGTGGTCTGCCTGTTTTACCACCATATTATGGATAAGTATTGTAAAATTTTGAAACACTAAAATATTGAGTCTGATTGCTATAGAAAAAAATCAACACACTTTTAAAGTAATATTGTGTTAAACGATACGATACTAATTTTACATTTGAATACACAAATATTTAATAAACATTATATAAATAAACGTATTTTCTTTTTAAAGATTTGAATAAATAATTAGTCTAAAAATTGGTTGAATATAGAAAAATTAAATTTATATTTTAAAATATCCGACGACCAATGACTATATTGTTTGAATTGACTCATTTGAATTGGTAAAAAATATTAAGTAATTTTAATAATATTTTTATATAATTTATTATTGTTCAATGAATTTTTTATTTTAAAATTGAAATATAAAATTATTATGATAATATAACACAATAAAAAATTATTTTATTGTAAATGATTAATTTTTATTTGCTTAATCACAACTTATCCTTAAAGTTTCAAAAAGAAAAGAAACATCTTTAACTTAATGATGGATTGATAACTAGTTTAGTATAAAAATAACATGTCACAATGATTATTTTAATTTATAATTGTAGAGATTAATTATTCGAATCAGAAAATAATTTGTTTTTAAAATATTTAACAATATTGTATATCCAAAAAAAAAAAATTAAACTCAAGAAAAATGATTTTGATAAAAACTACATCTAATTAGAATGTCGACAAATTGCATTTTTACCTAATCAATCATAATTAATTATAACAAAATCTAATTTTGTACGGATTTTGATTTTTCAATAAAAAAGAATTCACGCGTCTTTGACTTGAAAAAAAATTAGTACAAAATCAGTAAATAAATTTATACTTAAAATGATGTAAATTATAAATCATTTCAAAAAAAAATTAATCAACGGCCCGATGGTTGAAAATGTTTAAAAATGATATAAGAATATTAAATTTACTAAAAATAAAATAATATTTTTGTTGAATTTAGTCAATTCTTAATATTAAGAAAAAATGATTTTTATAGAAATTAAAATATTTTTTATAAATAAAATAATATTTTCACCCTTATAAAAATAAGCTCTCACAATATCATATACATTCTCAAACAGCGGGACCAGAATTTTGTGACTTTAGCTATTGATAACTCTGGTGATTTTCAATTTATCTTATTTTAAATCAATCTTTTTTTTTATTTATTTTCAGTCTATTTTATTTTAAATCAATCTTTCTCTTTCAATAAATAATTTATTTTAATTATACATTCATCTTTTAAATACACTAAAGTCGCAAAATCACAACAACAATAATATAGTCTTTGAATCATTTTCTCAGTTAGAGCTCTCACGAGAGAAGTTGAATCCATTACATTCAGAGATTTGTTATATTCACAGAGTCAATATGTTATTAATAGTTTGATCTTGATTTTACGGTTATAAAAAATAAATTTTTTTAATTATTAATTTTAAATTATAAGTGTTTGATCTTAATAAAAAAAAATCAAATTTATTTAAATGTGGGAATGTAGGAATTTTTAGTTGCAAAGAAACTGAATCCCCCACGAGTTGCTCGAGCAAGCCATAATTTGTCTTGGATTCTATCATTTATGAAACAATCCAAAGCACAACAAATACACTGCACCACATCAACTCATCCTCATACTCCCATCCCTTTCTATGGCCCCTCTTTTTCCATTGCTTCATAATCATTCCATTTATGCAACTTGCTCTAAATCATTTATCCCTTTTTTGAATAATTCCAAAGGTTATTTTGTTAGGTGGCATAATAATAACAAGTGGTAGGGTCCTCAAATATTTTGTCTAGTTCAAAACCTTGAAATTTATCACAACACACACAAACACAAAATCTGTTTTTGCTTGTAAGTCAAAGAAAAACAACCGTACACTATACACAAACCATAGTACCCCTCTTATACTCATCAACACCTTCTTCTTTCTCTTTTTTTACAAAATCCAAAAAAACATCTCAAGTTTTTCAACTAGATCTTGTTTTTCTCTTGTGTCTTAGCTTCAACAAGGTTTTTTTATTTTTATATTTGTTATTTATTTTTGTTTTTGTACATAAGCTGGTTTATAATCTTAGATAAGGTTTTTATTTATTTATTTACTTATTTATTTATTTATTTATTTATTATGTTACACCAGTTGATTCTGTGGCTGTGATATCTCTATGAGATCTGAATATACAAAAATGAAAAATCATTAAAACTAAAATTTAAGTTTTTGTTTATTTATTTGATTATTTATTTTCTGGGTTCTGAAAAAGTCTTATTGTTTTTTGATATAGAAACATGGCGAATCGGTGGTGGGATGGAAGAAGCACGGAAGCAAACCCAAACCCGGTTGAAGATTCGAACCAAACCGGTTCGAACCGGGTTGTGTCACGAAGGGAGCAAGAGTTCATGGAAAGCAACACCAACAACAGTAACAGTAACGTTACTCCAACGATGAGCAACAACAGCACCGTTAACGTTAACGGAGAAGACGACAACAATGACCGTGACGGCGATGACCAGAACACCGGAAGCGGCCGGCGTCCCCGCGGGCGGCCTCCAGGTTCGAAGAACAAACCGAAGCCACCGGTGGTGATAACAAAAGAAACACCAAACGCGCTTCGTAGCCACATCCTGGAAATCGCCAGCGGAAGCGATGTTGCTGAGAGTATTTCCACTTTTGCTAACCGTCGTCACCGCGGTGTTTCGGTTCTGAGCGGAACCGGCGTTGTTACCAATGTGACACTCCGGCAACCGACTGCTCCTGGAGGTATTATTGCTCTTCAGGGGAGGTTTGACATTCTGTCACTCTCTGGTGCTTTTTTGCCTCCGCCGTCTCCACCGGAGGCGACCGGGCTTACAGTCTATCTCGCTGGAGTTCAAGGGCAGGTGGTTGGAGGATTGGTGGTCGGGGCGCTGGTTGCGTCCGGCCCTGTGATGGTAGTTGCTGCTACTTTTGCTAATGCTACTTATGAGAGGCTACCATTGGAAGATGAACCAGTTGAAGAAGAAAACATGGAGCAAGAGGTTAATAACACTCGCAATATCATTAACAACAATGATGCTGGTGGTTCTGGTTCCGTTTCTGTGTCTGTGTCTGGTTCAGCGAGTGGAAGTGGTGCAACATCTCATGGATTAGGAGAATTCAATTTGAATCCGAATTTGATGAACGGTGGTGGACACAACGTCGGACATGGACACGGGCACGGCCATGATATGTTTTGGCGTCCACCTCCTCCTCCTTATTGAGATTTCGGATTTGTGATTGCTACATTGCACTAATACTTGTGTCACTTTTATGTGATCAAGTTCAAGTGTTTTGTTGTAACATGTTGATGTTCTAGCTAGCTACAAGCCAGTTTAGGATGTTTTGCTTTGTTTTATTTTGGTTTCTGTCTCGATTTTACTACTACAAAGACTCTCCCTCCTTAATTCCCATAATTTTGTTCTAAACTTTGTAGTAGTTTTTCAATGTTATCTTGGGAATTTTATATGTTCATTACAGTTAATAATAACAAATGGATTTTGTTTGGGAAGTTTCGATTGTGATTGTGTTGTTTCGAGTGTTTTGTGCACAATTTTTGGGTATTATGTGGAAATTAATCTCTCATGATAATAAGGATTTAGTTAAAGGATTAATGAGTTTTTACATATGTTTTTTATATGCATAACTGAGCGAGTGGATTAACAAATAAGACATTCAAATATTAATCAACTGCGATCAATTGTGGAGTAACTTTTTACTTGGGGAATTTCTCACATGGATTTTTCTTGGCCAAGTTATATGATGCCAAAATGCAACAATGTTGAATTGATGAATATAATAGTCACGGGATTTAATTTAGTCTTATAATAATTGCAGTATTATAATAATTGATTTAGTTGACTATCTTTTATTGATTATAAAAATTATATAAATAAAAGAGAAAAAAAAGTTTTTAACTAAAATGTTTTTACTTTGTATTATTGTATTTTTTATTTTATTTTAAGGCAAAAGTTACTAGCAAAGTTGTTAAATTTTATCTCACTAAGGAAGATCTCTGACATAAATCAATTATCAGAAATCATACTTTTATTTAAATCATTAATCTTAAAATTTTCTTTTAATAATATTTTTTATAATATTTTTAGGTCTTTCTTTTCCTTTATTGAATTGGGAGTGATAAAAAAGTATTCACTAAGATTAATAATTTGAAGAAAAATATATAATTTTATATTGAAAATTGATAAAGCAAATCGTTTTGAAACAATTTTATATTTTTATAAATTTTAAATTGAGAATAATTATGCGTGTTAAAATCTAAACCACTGTTTGATTATACAGTAAAAAAAGATTAATTTTGAGTAAATTGATTTTATAAAATTGACTTCGATTAAAAGTGAGTTGAAAGGAAAATAATTTATATTTAAATAAATTTTTACAAAAGTGAGTTGAAATCTAAATTTCAATGTAAAAAAAATGTTTAGACTCAAAAACTACAAATCTTAACTTTAAATAAGATCAATTCTAAAAAATATAATCAACTCTTCTCAAAAACAATCAAATATATTAAAATCAATTTTCCCATCTATAATCAATTTGGGGTGACCTAAATATAAAACCAAACATATACTAAATCGATCCATATTAACATGGTAAATTTATTATAAAAAAATTAAAATTGTAAAACTAAATATTAGATGTGTTTATATGTTATTTTGAGTATCGAATTAAACTTGTGCATGTTGAGTACATCAATAATAACTCCATTGACATAAAGCTAATACGATTCGCAGACAATTGACTGGTTGTGAGTCGTATGAAGAGTGTATCCATTATATCTAGGGGTAGGAATAGACTGAGCCAAGATAGATTTTATCAAGTTCAATTCTAGCCTACTAAAATATCAAAGTTTAAGTCGGATATATAGTTTGTCATAAACTTATTTTTAGGGATGAATAGAACATTTTCAAATGTCTAATTTGCATGTTAGCTTATTTAAAAGCCTATTTTATTTGAACTTATGTAAATATGCAATTCAATTATTAATTTTATAGATTAAAAAAACAAAGATACCAAAAATTTAAATATACAAACTCTCCTGTAATATTAGCGAGATTTATTTTTAGTCTCTGGTAATTTTTTTCTTCAAAACCCCCCCTCTTAATACCTAGATTCCGTCAATTAGGCCAATGAACGCATTATTTCCCTCAAGATTCTTTATATTTTTCAACGTGACAATCTAAGTTATATATATATA